GTGGTGGTGGTGGTGGTGGTGAGTTGTAGGCAGTCATGTCTGTGTGAGGATGAGCAGCTTCTCAGAAAGTTGGGCGCTGACCTTGTGGTGGTTGACTGAGATGATGCCCTGTTTTTTTCTTTGCCAGTGACCTTCTGCGGCAAGCACGCATGAGACTGTATCCCACGAAGTCCGGTCAAGGTCACAAAAAGGGAAAGCCCTTACCCAATGTGTTTGCCTGGAAACTCCACGGTCAAGAAGTGCAGCCCGCACCTCATGCGTTGTTGCGGTTGAAGCCAACTGAATCTGAAATTCATGCAGAAGGATCATTTTCCTGCATGTATGTACGTTCCATGACATTTCTCAAGGTCACATTATTGGGTTTCGTGGAGGAAAGGCATCCCCGTTTGCAAGCAGACGTGCGGGAGGATATAGCATGGTTAGAAGAGAAGGGTACAAGCCAGCGATGTTTGGACTGAGGCAATCGAGCGGGACAAGCTCATGAATGTACTGTGCTCATCCACGCTGAAGCAATTCTCGTGTTGCAAACCGCTGCAAAACCTGCGGAGGTGAAGCTGGAGCTCCTTGCGCAGGACTACAGTGTCCGGTAGCACCCGTCCATCTCTGAGGGGCTGGTGTTGGTGTGCGAGCTCATCATTCAGAGGGCTGGAGTGATGGACTCTGAGAAGCAGGTCTAGGTCGCCTAGGAGTTCAGAAACCCAAGAACACCTCAGCGCGGGGTGGTTAGCACCTGCCGATCGTCGCAAAACCTTGCAGCTAAGCTGCTAGAATTTGCATGCCTGGTCATGGCCCTTCTGCACAAAGGGAGCCTTGGCCAACAGCAAGAGCTCTGACTGTGCCGTATCCTTTCAAAGCCTGTCTTGAGTCGAGTTGTTGCTGCAATGGCTGCTGAGCTGCTGTAGCTGCGTCGCGGCCAGGCCACTTGGTTAGCTCCTTAAATTTGTTCTATTCGGCAAAGCTCAGGACCGCTGAAAGGACAAGATGTCTGACACCATGACGGTGTGACCAAGTTCAGTTCTTAGAATAACACGTCGGAATTCAACTTACTCACACTACTGAGTCTGAAGAAGCCTTTGCGAAGCAGGCCAGGCAAGCAACCCAAACAGGCGCAAAGAACACTGAAGCGTGCACCAGAAAAGCAGCAGCTCGAGATGAGCTTCTCTGGCTGTGATGACCGAGCGCCCAGGCCCGCCGCCAAGGAAGGACACGAATGTGCAAGCCTCATTGCCTCAACTTAATCGCTTCGAGGGTAAGCCAGAGTCGAAGCGCAACGAGCAATTCTCAAGTCCGGCTTGCTGACTTTGTGCCAGGCCGCAGGCAGAGCGAAGCACGGCGGGATGGTGAATGGCTCACACCTTGAACTCTTGAACGCCTCGAATTTGGGCTACGGTCTTTGCACGTTTTCCAGCATAAGGCCGAAGCAACTGAAGTCGGCTTCATCTACCAGTTGTCCACTCAGAACGTCTCAGAGAAGCTTACCATGCAAAGCGTGCTCTGCTCGTTCAAGGTGTGTTTTGTGCGGATCTTTTGCCGTCGGGGCCGTACCAGCCAATTGGAAGCTTGTCACATGACCTGCCTGCTGTGCTACATCGCGTGAGGTGTGGGTGGTCGATGCCCTAGAGCCTTCAGAGGCAAGCTGCCAAAGAAATCTCTTGATTCTGATTCGGCAGATGCATGAGCAGGTGTCCAACCGAGCTAGCTCCAGAAGTGCCTCGGAGCGAAAGTGAGCAATCTACAACTTCAGCCCGTCTCTTGTGATTGATGACCTCACAGCCTCACAGCCTCTGAGGCACAGGGCAAAAGGTGCTTCAGAAGGATGTCTGGCCCCTGCAATGATCTTTGAGAATCTGACTTGCTCATTGTCAGTGAGGTCCACGCCGCTGAAGCGGAACTGTTGGAGGACTAGCTGTCTCTCATATGGTCCGCTTTGCATGAATGATTTGTGAGGCTATTCAAGGCCGTTTGACTGTCAACAAGGACCGCTGCAGGCCTGCTGACCTCATCTAAGCTCCCCAGCTCTGTTTATATGGAGGACCAGCATGGTGAAGCTTTGTGCGCGCTGATTCCCTGCCCCTGTCTTAGTCTTGAGGTCTCCGGCTAGGATGAGTGGGACTTCCATCTAGCATGCAGATCGCAGCATGACGGTGTGAGTACGCCGTCTGTGAAGCTTGTTCTTGCATTTGTTGTCTGCAAGGCAGCGCGTGCATTGAGATCCTCGAGGGCAAGCTCTTCGTGCAGTGGCTGGACGACAGGCATTGCTCCCGGGGCTGGAAGACAACAAGTTGCAAGTAGCAGAGAAAGGCAGTGGCATGTTCAGGACAAATTGCGACAGACCCGTTCCGCTATGCCCACACATTGCTGGTGTCCTGGTCGTTTTGCATTCCCAGTCAATACCTCTTCAAGCTCATGACACATCAAGGCAGTATCGTTTGAAGATGATGAGCCACCTCCAGCATACCTTCGGAAGGCTCGATGGGGACCACACTGAGACCCATCAGCTGCAAGCTGGCAGGCCGGCAAGTGGTCCTTGGCCCAAGGGGTTGGCCCCAAGGTCCAAAAGGGTTTAACCCTAGCTAACACACTTCGGTACCAAGTCCAAACATGGCAGCTGGAGGACTTGGAAGTCAAGCTCCCGTTTCAGCTGCCTGCCGGGCAATTCAAGACATTGAGTCGAGCTCAGCACGTGTTTGAGTGCGGCTGCCAACCTGTCATGCATCGTCTCGCGCTCTTCAGGCTTCCGCCGGTAGTGCCAGCTTTGAGGCCGCCCTGCTGGCAGAAGAAAGGCCATTGTAAACGGAAATGGGATCAGGCCGTGAGTTTCACCTGCTTGTACTCCCATGAAGGCGGAGATGAGGATGACCCAGCAACTTGGGAGGCTATGCCCCGTACCAATTGCAACAATGTTTAAGATTTTTTGTTTGAGAGAAGAAGTTCTATAGCGGATCACTCGCTGCCAGGAAAGACGCTGCTTATTGGAACGCTTCCTGCTCCTAGCGAGCTGGCAGCAGAGCCGGCAAAGCCTGGGCATTCTTGTACCACCGGATGCCGAATGAGCATTGCAAAGCTGCAAAGATTGCAAAGCCAAGGTGAACGCGGCCGCGGCTCGCTCAAAAGCTTTGTCCAAAGTCCCTCTGCGCGCTCCGCCAATTGGCAAGGCTGCCAAACACTTGTTCGGAGCTTGGCCCAGCGTTTATCCTTTGTAGGCACTTCCTTTCATTCCAGATATGCTCTCGGCTGCTGCAGAGGACGGGTTTTCATCTGAGCTTGCAGCTGTCTCAGTGGACGTAGTCCGTCTGTGACGGCTATTTCCAGGCGCATGAAGCTGCAAGAAGCCGGGCAACCAAGACACCCAAAGGCCTACCAACTCGTGCGTGACTTTCGGATGGCGTCTTTTTCATGCGCGCCGGATGGCATGCCTCTTGTACGTGTGGCACACGCCCCGGCATGGTTCAAGACGGTAGCCAGAGAAACGATTCACTTTACGAGTCGGTAGTTGAGTGGCTTTGAGCTGCGCCCAAGCATGGCTGGTTGTATGCAGGCAGGCATGCACGCCGCCGCGGCCCCTTGGATGGATGCTGCTTCAATGCAGATGGCTGCTAATCCGGCACCACATCCTGCTCCAGTGGCACCTGCAGGCAGGCCAAGTTCCTGAATGGATCAACATGTCTGTTACATGCATTTAGAGTGAACTTTTGCTCTGCATGTGCCCGAGATGCCTGCATGCAGGTCCCAGCCAACCTCTTACGATGGTCGCACCAGCAAACGCATTCTCAGGAGAAGCTGGCCGTTATCCGCAGTGGGCTAAGAATTCATAATGAGGTTTTCGTTGCCTTCTGAAGGGAAGTGGGCGCTTAGGCTTCTGGCTCCTGCATTCTCAGGTGGTACCGTGTTGCATTTGCGGGCGGTGTTGACCTTCGTCATGGACCAAGTGTGGAAGCACCTCGTACGGGAGAAACGCTGCTCGGCACAAACTAATTGCCATGCTGTGTCAGCTTACCATTTCCTTTGTTGAAGTTCAGATGTTGCATCACCAGGCTTTGCCAGAACGCTACGCTCGCAGTCGCAGAAGAAATTCTTGGTGCTGATGGACGCGTGTATCTCCGACTTGCAGATGGAAGGGGCTGGGCCTTTGACGACTCCGCTCTGTTTCCTCATGACCCTTCTGTGGTGTAGCTCGGCGTCACTAGCGCTTTAGACTCTTAGTGCTACATTGTTTGAGATCGAATCTCTTGGGTTGACGCAGGCGTGGCTACTGGCAACCTGTCTCCGTGGTACCACCTGGCGCAAACGCGGCAGCTGTTGCTGCAGCTGTGGCAAACGCTGGCACTGCTGGCACAGCAGCAGCTGCCATGCCAGGTGCAGAGGCACCCGGAGCGAACATGATGGGAGGCAAGCCCATGGAGTACGGAGCCATGGGAAATCCACAAGGAAGAGCTGGAGTGAACCCTTGGATCTTGAATTAGAAGAGATACCCACATGTGGTATAAGGACGCTATGCCTTTGGAAGACTTCCCACTCATGGCACTGGCAATTCAGAAACGCTTGGCCAGCCCATTCATGTGTCGTGCCACTTTGTGACAGATGTGGATTATTAGCAGACAGACTTAGCTGTGACGAAGGCTTGTCCTTGGACTGTAACAGATCGCTTGTGCATGCTACAATTCCTGGAGAAAAGCGTGCTCTGTGCCACGCTGGACTTGTTCATGTTCAAGTTTCTGTGCGACCAGTGAGCACAGCTTTGTCAGGTGTGAGTGGGGCACTGTACGTGAAAATTCCGCTGCTAGCTGTGGCACAGGCGCAGAGACTTAACCCAACAAGTACTTGCATCATACACGCTCTGATTTCATTGTTCAGGAAATCCTTCCGCTGGTGGAGTCCGAGTTGGCTTGTTTGGGGGACGACTGAGAAGATTGACAAGCTCGTGCAGCGCACGGTGAAAAGCGCGGTCTTTGTGCATGGCTCGGACTGGCAGAGCTCGCAGCTTGACACCTGCGTGTTGGATGCACACCAGGCCTCATAGAAGCAGGAGATAGTCAGAAATACATCAGTGTAGCAAACAAGGTTGAACGGAGATCGAGACTACACCGTTGAGGGCTGTAGTGTGCGCTAAGTCTCAAAGTTCCAATCAGCAGATGCGGAGCATGATTATTGCACAGTAGACGGAGTGGGCCATGTGGCGACCGCCAGGCACTCAAAAAAAACTTGCTATTCATGTGTCGTGTTCGAAGAGTTGTTCGAGCAGTGAGGTCATTCTCCAGAGAGTATGACTCAACGCCAGTGGAGGCGGCTTCCGGGTCTGTGGCCTCTTGCTCGCGATTGTGTCTGATGATCATGCCTTTTCTTCGGTGCTGCGTGTAAGCACGAGGTCATGGAGCCAAAGTGTGATACAAATCTTAGCAGCTGGGAATTCAAAGCTTGCCAGCTGCTGTCGCGACAGGCCGTTGCCTGCGTCTTGGGATGTTGTCTATGGCCACAAGCAGACTACGCAGGCTTTCCGTTATTGGAAAGTTGAGATCCTGGTCAACGCGCTCTCTGCCATGAAGGCGCTTTGCGATTGCCGCGCATATAGGTCGTCATCTTGTCTTCAGTTCAGGCTCCTGTGGATCTTGTTTGCGTTCGCTGCCCTTCAGACGTGCGACATAGGGCTGGCTACTCTCCCAGGCACAGTGCTGCTAGTTGAAGTCACGGGTTGGACCAATTCCTCTGAAGGCACAACCGAATTTGGATGTGTGCCAATCGATTCTGGAACCCTTTCGAGTTCAGAAGAGGCCCTGTGCTCGTGGAGCTGGACTGCGGACAAGCTTTGTCTGTGAGCCCGCAGTGAGCCAGTCCTGGTTCACGAGTTGACGCACGCTTTTGACTTCGCTCGCGCGAAGGCCGCAAACACAGAAAAAGTAGAGCATTTAAGGGCTGCCTTTCAGAACCCATCCTTTGAAGTCACAGGTGGACACGGGCAGCTGTGTCCACATGGCCGCAGCCTGATGCGAATGAATTGTGACTCGGATCCCAAGCTTCTCACTGAAAGGCCTGCACAGAAGTGCGTGCATGGAATCTCAGCGGCGCCAGGGTCTGATATTTTCCTCTTCAGCTTGCTCTGCAACTTGCACGAAGCATCTTCATACAAGACGCAGGAGTGCGACCTCTGGCCAAACTCCTTCAAATATTTAGGGGAGGAGCGTCAGCCCGCACCCAACCGGGCTTTACAACAGCGATTCCGTCAACTCCTGCCCACGCTGGAGGACATGATCAACCGCAAGCAGCAGTGTGTGCGCGACGGTGCCTTAGCGTCCCTCCTTGAGAACGAGCGCTGTCAGGACTGACCGTGTGGTCACACTGCTCATTTTGTTCCATGCGAAGTGCCTTCCGTAGGACAGTGCCGTGGCACGGGCAGCTCTTCACGAGGCGGCATGGACCTTGCGAATTTGCTTGCTCAGGTGGCTTGCGTACTTCGCTCAGAGAAGCTGCAAGACAGTCGCAGGCTTGGGACCAGTGCTGGAAAGACTACTGGCCCTTCACTACGCAGCCTGCCCGATTCTCATTTCATGTTCATGTGCGTTATGTGAATCTTGACATTTGGTCAACAGATCGAACAGTGTTTGGGGGATTTTTGTTAAGCACCATGCAGAGAAGCATCTGAAAGCGAGGCTGCCCTTGCAAGAACAAGGCGGTAAGAGGCGTCTACAAGCGATGGGAATCGCATGCGTAAATTGGTGGGAGGGTGCAAGCTGTGCTGCATGTGAACAAGGGATCGCTGTGACTCTCATGCTGAGGCTTTGTCTTTCCATCTTGAGAGCTAATGTGGTGAAACACAAAGATGAAGTCCCTCAGCAAAGGATGCCCTGAAGAACATTGAAAACATGTGATGCCAGCTCTGGAGCAGATCCAAGACCAGTCGCTGTAGACATCACGGAGTCAGCCAGGAAGTCACCAGCAACATGCAGTGACACTGTTGCAGTGAAGCGACTTCTCATGCTTGATTGAATTTTGGGCAGGGTTATGCTTTCCTGCCCTTGGCTCCAAGTGCTGCGCATTCGGTAGGCTAGCCATTGCAGACTCCAATCATCGTGCATGATATTTCATCCAGCGATGCGACGTCCAAAGCCAATGTGCGGGCACGTGGCGCTCTTGTTTCTGCTAATCCAATCTGCAAGCGGATACTGCGGACGAGAGACTTCGTCGATTTGACAATGTGTTTTGTTGGGTTTGCTACGGACTTGTGTGATGGCCGCGTCACATCAACAGTAAGGATCCTGTTCCCATGCCTGCAACCATGGTCATGGAGAAGCAGTTCTGGTCCTTCTTCTCCACCTATGCGATGAATAAGTTCAAGTTTGCCATGCAACAAGGCTGGGAAGACGAAGTTAGCTGTGCATCTTGCTCCGTTTTTGTACCTGAAGGTTCTTGCCAGGTGCCGACCGGGGAGGGCAGTTGCCTCAGAATAGCAGTGACTGCTGTCGAGTGCGCTGCGGAATGATTCTCAGCAGCATTTGGCCAGGCAACAGTGTCTGGGTGTGCATTTTTTCTTCTTGAGCTTCATGCATTCCCGAAGGCGAGAAGCGTGGAGATTGCATTGCCTTCGACAGACCAAATGTATACGGCAAAGCTGGGTGCTGCTTGTACAGCGGCAATTCAGTTACTTCAGACGGAAAGGGCGGCAATAAGGCATGTTTCGTGCTGCAATCACCAGCGGAAGTGAGCGCAAAGTCGGGCGGCGACCAGTTCGGTGAGGTTTGGAGAGAGTGCCTAGCAGTACAAATGCCTTTCTTAGTTGGTTTTGTAAAGCTGGTTCCAAAGTACAAGCGCAGAGCTCCTTTTTCTCTTCGGTCTGTGGGCACTCCAGGCCTGCAGTTTCCAGCACCATGCATCTGGATACTTCGGACCACGGGGCTGCTGCGAAGGCTCTTTGATTTCATACAACTGAAACGAGATCAAAAAAAACAAAGGCACAATGGTGATAGATATAGAGTTTGTGGCAATGCTTGGCTGGTATGTGTTTAAAGTTTGGTCCCAATCGTTTTGAAGGCAGTGATGGACCTTTGTATGCCGTGGTCACACTGCAGTTTCCGGATCTACTCGTGCCAGGGCCAGCCTCTCTATGCTTTGCACGCACGCATGATGCAAAGCTTGGAGAACCCGCTGCTCAGTATTTGGGCGTATGAGGTGCGTAATGGCACTGGTCACTATCTCGGCCGAACATCGGAGTTACAAAGTGGATACCATCCCATCAAACTCTTCGACGAGAAAAACCGCAATGTTGTGACCCTCTCAACTATTTGGACGTCCTTCTCAGCAATTTACTCGGGCACATGGTACATCAACAATCAGTTTCCAGCTGAGCCCATCGAGAGAAATCTCATGGCAGATGCACGATTGGTCACCTTCCTAGCTGCGCATCAGTTTGCAGCACAGGGTTGGTTTGGTCACTTGGCAACCTACACTAGTCAGACTTCTACGCAGCGTTTTTTTTGGTGCATTGCATCCTTCGCAACAGATTGTTTCAATGAGCAACGCTGAGCAAACCTGATCAGTTTTTGCTAGGTCCATTCTGGTCGGTGGTGGTCTGGGTAAGCCTGCTTTGTGCAGTCTACCTTGCCGTCCGAATGTGGAGGACGGCAGACTCCCGCAAATCTGAGCAGCTTCTCGTCGAGGCCAAAGAGATGCTTGGCTGTGGCAAGGAGGAGTCTTCCTCCGAGGAGGAACAGCAAGCCTGCTTCGGCAGTCCTTCCGCCCGAAGTCCATCTGCCAGAGCGCCTCCGATAGAGCCGCTTGAATACCGGGGAAAGCCTCGGTCTGTTTGCTAGTGCCGCATAGCACACGGGCTGCCAAAAGTTGCACTGCCTGTGTGAAGGTTTCACCATCCAGGCAAAATTGTCCTGGATGCCTGTGACTCGCAATCGCTTTGTGGATCAGAGCCCTAATCATAGTTGCTCCTGCACTTTGTTGGCAGTACTATTAAATGCACGGGCAGCTTGCAGCCCTTCAGCTGTAAGTTGGCATATTTGGCATGTTTTGGAGATTCGCAGTCTTGCCAAGGACTTGGACACGCGCTGGCGGCAGTCACCGATGCTTCGCTAGACGCGAGCCGCGTGCAGAAATGAGGTTTGCCCAGCGCATCCAAGCAAATCCAAGCCTGCCGTTTCAATTGTAGACCCGACGCTGCTTCAGCAATGTGTCCTTGCATCTAGATTTCCTGATCGGTGCTCTTCTCGGTCTTGCTCGAATTAGGCTCTAACACATGTCCCCCGTCTCAACAAGAATTGCTGCACGCAATTGCGCAGCAACCTTCCAAGATGGTGACCCCTGTGCAGACGCAGTAACCTCAGCCCTTGGACAGAGTTTTCCCAGCGGTTCCGATCCATGAAGCTCTCAGGTGGGGCGCTTTGGGCAGTATGGTGCCAGAGCAGAAGGAGTTTGGAGTAATAGCCTCAGAGACGCAAACGACGCAAACAGCGTACTTTTCTCTGGTGCACACTCAGGCAGAGACCAACGCTTATCTGGAATCGTATGAGGACACCAGCTTAACCCTGATGTCATGCCCTCAAACATGAAGCCTCATTGTCTGGTTTTCAGGTCTACGATTTGTTTGCGCATCTCCTTCGACAGGCCGTGTTTATTGTAAACTGTAATCTGTAATCCTTGACTGGTAAAGTTTCCACCACGAAACCACGCTGCTTGCAGGTATTAGTCGAGAGGCCAGAGAACCCGCTTAAGTTTCTGCAGGCAGGTGTTTGCTTCTCCATCTCCATTGAAGTGCCATGTGGTATTCAATTGGGCAGGAGTGTCTGAAAGATCAGTCGAAGTTGAGCGTTTGCGTGATGGGGCCGCCCGGAGTGAATCGCTCCAAGTATTGTCAACAGCTTGCTGCAGCTCCTGGCTCAGCCGCGAGTACTGAGCGCCTGCATCATTTCAAAAGTCGTGCCTGCTGCTAAGGACTTCAAGGTCAAGCACATTCATGTTGGCAAGTTACTCAGGCAGAACAGAGAGCCTTGCTCAGTAGTCATTCGTTTGTGCCGGGGTTTTGCTTGCAAAGTGCTTGCTGGCAGGGCCAAAAAGGAGTTGAAGGACATTATTGATGCTGGCGAGCTGGTCTCTGACGATGTCGTTGTTGACATCGTGAAGGCCCTTTGGCATGTAACATGGTCGCTGAAGATGTCCCACTTTTCTCTCGGCACAACAGGAGGAGCTGAGAAAAGCCAAGCATACTGGATGGGCAGCTCACTCAGCCAGGCTCCCCGCCAGCCCCAGCGGCCCAGAGCTTCTGCATGTGCTGCATAGCAAGGGAGTTGTCGGATTTGACCGGGATGTCTGAGCCATTTGGGCTTGTCAGGACCTGACAGCAGCGGTCTCGCGCGTGTTTGAAGGGGCCTGTATGCGAGGTGGCGCAAGATCTGTCCAAAGTGATCGGAGTCTGAAAAACGATATGCAACAGGGTCTAGGTCCAGGTGTGGAAGTAGGCAGCAGTGAAGGGACGAGAGGCGAGGCGGAGCAGGGAGGAGGAGTCAGCCGCGGAGGAGAGTGTTGAAGAGCAGGAGCAGCATAGAGCAGCATGGAGCAGCAGAGCGGCGCCTTTGCCAATTTTTCCTTATCTATCTGGCCGGGGGCACCTGTCTGGAGCGGAGAGCAGGGAAGTGGGAGTGACCGCAAGAGAGGGAGTGGCCTTCCAGTGCAGCAGGGTCGAACCTCACTCTTTTTCCCATGAGGTCCTGGACGGCTTTCCTCGGACGAAGGTGCAGGCCCAGTCCCTGGCGGCTGCAAGCAAGGCTGGGCGTTTGCCATCTGCAGAACTTCCCTATTAGAGATGAGATGTGTATCGAATCCAGCAAAGCATTCGCAACAGCTCGGTTCCAAGCCAGGAGCTAGGAACCAGCTTGGACAGCGTCTTGCTATTGGAAAGCAGCGAGGAGACCACACTCATACAATGTCCGGATCCAGATGTATTGTTGCCAGCCAGGACCTTGCCAGGCAAAACTTTGCGGCGAAGGCCCACTTGAACTCAGCTGGTGTTTAGCAATGTATATGGTGGCATCTTGATTGCGGCTACGATTTCTCCGAAAATGTAGGTCGACGCGCCCGACCCAGCAGTGAAGCAAGAGGTGGCTGAAATGCGCTTGCAGCAGTGCGCCACTGTCAGTGGTGGGCAATGCTGGCCGCATGACGGCTTGGCAATGTTTATCCTGCAACTGAAGAGCTTGGCCTTTGCAGTACGTGATCGAGGTACAAGCGTCACGTGCTGACTATCAGCGAGTTCTTCAAGAACTCCGCCGTGCTCTTAGCTTCAGATGCTAGCAGCGAGGGTGCAGTTCCAGTTGCGTCTAGCTTTAATCAAGCCCACATCTTGCTTAAGTCTGTACGCTTTCTGAACCCAAGGGTTTCTACATCAAAGTTACCGGATGCCTGAGGTGCGTCGCGTTGAGATCCACGGAGGCCTTGAGCGTCTTAGTGCATCGGTTTGATGATGCAGCCTGTTAGAGAGGGGAAGATGAGCAGAAGAGCGTCTATGCTACCATCAGCTCCAACGTACAGTACCGGGCGTGAATGCCCCAGATTCGTTGCAGAGGTGCTGCCGCGGGAACAAGCTTGCAAAACGGCAGGTATTCCAACGCGCCCCTGCGAATGCAACGAGTGTGCATTTTGGGGCCGTGTGGCTCCGGCAGGATGGGATGACTGCCAAGATGTCCCATGGAAACTGAGATAAGGATATGTCCACATGGAACCTGTGAGGACAATGCAATGCCAGCTGCTTGCCAAGCGGCTCGGTGTGGTTCACGTAGCCCGGGCCTGAGCGTGCGTAGGTCTGCAAGTAACAGCGTCACGGTGGAGCTTTGTTCTTCAGGATTTGGCAGCGCTCCTCCGTGAGAAGCAGGAGGTTTGGATTGCTGCGGCTACATCAGGTTTGGCAGCTACATAGTCAGACTTTGCACGCTGCAGGCGGAGGGCCAAGAGGTGGACGAAGTGCCACCTGAATACCTCAGCGACGAGGAAGCATGTGCCCTGATTGGTGCGCCTGGGGCCCCAGACCAGGTAACAGTTTTTGAATGTGTGCGATGATTGTGTCGCGTGTGCGCAACATTGTGCCGCTGCCACGCTCTTTTCTCCCTTCATCTCCTGTCTAGGCGGTTGCGCAAAACCGATTGTGTACGCAAGGGCTGGGTGCTGTCCTCAGAGCAAATGTTCCACCCAGGTTGCACCACGTTTTCCAAAACATGATATACCAAGATGCTCCTTAGGTGCTTGATGGCTTCCCGAAGACGCGAGCACAGGCCGAGTTCCTGAGGCGGAAGGGGCCGTTAGCGCTTAAAGCGCTTTGAACGCTGTGAGAGCACTTTTGCCACACAAGCTGCCGTGTGTCGAGTGCATCGAGTGCTGCTACGTGCGTGCTAGCTGTAGGCAAGCTCACCTGTGGCCATCGCGCATCGTACAGACACACTGGCATGTTTTGGTGATCTGGTATGTTGTGTGCTGGCTTCCACAGCTTTTCTCAGAGGCGGAACTAAAGATGCGCTCCAGGCTTCAAGTGGCAGACGCCGTTGTGGAAACTCGCGTATCATCACGACGCCATGCCCTCATGCATGTACAGCGACTTAAACAGTTGAAGAGGGAATGAGTTTCAACTTTTTCTAGTAGGCAGATCCGAAAAAATCACGACAGTTAATTATGAGTCAATGCTGACCACCCGTCAACATGGTTTAGAGATGCTTTCTGCAAAAGAGCAGGAGAGCCAGCAAAACAATGGACAGCTTCTATGAGATGAAGAGAAACACCCAAAGAAAGTTTCCAAATTCATATTAAACATTAGTAAACCATTCGTTTCGGTCTGAATTCATCCCTAGGAGGAACAAATGCACCCATTCTGAATTCTGGTAGAAGGGGACGTGAGGCCTAGATCCCGTGACTGGCACAGCTTACTACTCGCGAGGAGCTGAGGCTTAGGAAGTGGCAATGCATCTCAATGTAACAGTGCTGGCTCGGTTTCCTGGCCTAGGAATCCGAATAGCGTTGCTGTTCGGCAGCGTCTAATCCGTTGCCAGCATGACGAGGGTGAGAAGGCTTGGCGGAGCCCCCATCACTGCACGGCGTGATGGCATTAGATGCGGGGTCTGCTTGGACGGCAGGTGAAGGAGCGTGTGAACATGTTCTTGGACAACGTGCCGCAGGTTTGCGAGTCCTGGAAGCGAGTGTTGGCCTTGACATGTCGTGTCGTGCTCACCGCAGTCCTATCCAGGGAGATTCTTGTTGCTGCTTTGTGGTGCTTCAGGTGTTTACGACAGTCCTTGCCGATGGCCAGCCGGATGATGTGGCGTCAGGAGCGGCTCAGGGACTACACTTCCAGGTTTCTTTGAGTTTCCAGATTTTTTCAGTGCAGACATGCTTTTGGGTCAGTAGCATGAAATCGGCAGGTGTGTATGAAAAAGTCTCCAATCCTCTGCCGTCCGAGCTAGCACAGGCTGGATGTTTGTTTAGATTTCCAGCATTGGTGCCAGCAGGCTTTAGCGGTGTGCCACCGCTTTGTCAGGATCCGAACAGCGGTCTGTAAGATGGACTTCTACAAGGTGGACACTTCTCCACTGGCACCCAGGATAGCTGCCCCTTGTTTGAGGCAGTCAGCGCGTCTGGCTGAAGTGTAGGAACACCCACTGGAGTTGAAGCCCATGCAGCTCTCAGCAAATTACGTGTGTCACACATAGTTTCACCGGGAGCCGAAAGATCGGCTTCCAGCGATATCGGAGCAAATTGCCCAGCATAGCACGGGCAACAGAAATGTCTAAATCTAAAACCATTGGCAGAGTAGCAGCCAGCATGGTATGCAACATTTAACACTGTTTCACGCGTTTGTCCTGCAAGCCCAATGTACTGCTTGGGAAGTCATTGCAAAAAGTGCTGCAATTGGAGATGCCTCACGGCATGCAATTTTTCCTTCCTTCATTTATTCGTTCATGCGTTTATGTGTTCATGTAGCCTTCATTCCTTTCTTGCTTCCCTGCTTCTTTAGTTCATTTAGCAGGGATACTCCAGCGCACCGCAAGGGGACATGATAGGGCTCAAGAGCATGAGCCCCTAGCGGCCGTGGCTGAGGCTGGCTGGTCCAAAACCTCCGGATTTGCCACGTTGATCGCCCGTGTTGTAAGGATGCAAAGTGGGGAGCATGTCGAGGAGCCTTTTGCAAGTGCAAACCTCTCGTGAGCTTTCACAATTCAAAGCACGTGCCAGCTGCGAGGATGACGCAGGCTCCTGTGTTCGGTGCGAGTTGTTTTTCATTCTTCCAGCTGCCACGTTCTTCCAGGTGCTCGACCAAGTGGATACGTTCCCAGTGCGGGACCCAACATACGTCCTTTGTCTTCATTCTCGACTGGGAAGCATGGCAATCAATGACAAGACAAGGCGGAGCGACTGGTACCACTGCGGTCAGAGAACAGCTGGCTGTTGTGAAAAAGGAGCCAGCTGTTTCTGCTTCATACCTCTTTCATCATGACGGCTCAGTGATGGCTCAGTGATGTTCAGGAACTTGACTTCATCTCTCAGCAGCTGAGGGGTCCAGGCTGCCTGTCATAAGGCCGAGGTCGCGGGTGTGCTTGTTTCAAAGTCGTTTTTTGCCCCAGGTGGACAAGTTCAGAGAATAGATCTCCAGGAAGTTGAGCGTCTAGTGAGACACCTCGAGGCAAGTTTGCCCCAGAGATCCATGTCCTGCTATAGCTTGAGCAAGCAGGTCGATCGGGGTGAGCTTGCGAAGCGCTGCCAGCGCCTGGCAGAGGAGAACCAGGACCATCCCTACTGACCTCCCCATTGAATTATTGAGACAGAAGGCGTACTCCATGCATACTCATAAGGGAGATCAAGACAGCGACCCCAAAAGACAAGCTTTGCCGCCAGAGAAGCGCAGCTTTCAGACCAGAGGCAGCTGCTGAGTGAAGAGTGAAAGATGCCGGCTAGACGGTAGCACGGCAAGCGCTACTTTGACTCCGCCTTGTGTGTGCGCAGGACCTGATGGAGGCTAATCGTCATCTAGAGGCTCACCAAAGCAGATTCTGATATGGGGTAGTGAATAGTCAGAGTAGTGGACTTCAAGCACAGAACTCAGAAGTGCTGCTTCGAAAGCCTTGTTCCAGTTTCGTGTTGACAGGTGGACCTTGCTGAAGCTCGGCGAGAGCTAGACGATACAAGAAGGCGCGGCTTGCAGCGAGGAAACAGAAAAGGCCTTATACCCTGGGCTGTCCTAACGCGATGCCAGGCAACTGAAGCATCAGCAAATTGACCTTCAGATGAAAGAAGGCAGACACCTAAATTAGTAGGATCTAGCACACATTTGTCACCTTGTTACCAAAAGGTAGCTCTGAGCGGCCATGTGCAGATGCAGAGCAGCCTTCCGCAAAAGCCTCGGATCGTCAAACGCCTTCCATTAATACGTCCCCTGTTTACAGTTGCAATAGTGGGTGCAGTCTACAGTTCCAGGCAGAAGAACGCCTCACACAGGAGTCCTTAGAGGCAGGTGGGTTCATGTTTGAAATTCTCGAAGACACCCTGACTGCATGTGAGGCGCTCCAAGCTGCCATGGGTGCAAGTTCTGAACCCTCCAGGTGGGGGTTGACGCGTCGTGATAGTTTCAGGGCCAAGGTTAACCAAAAGCGCCAACTTGAGATAAATCGTGTTTGTACACAGTAGCCGAAGTCGAGAACATTACATTCTGCAAGACTGATCCGTTCTGAACGCAGGCACATGTCCAGGAGTGAGCTCATTCGAGCACTTCGCGCAACGCAGGTCTCAGATCTGGTTGTAGCTAGATGCCAATTGCTGCTGAAGTGAGTTGCACAGGAAGAGCTTGCGGTGCAACGAGCTCGGAATCAAAAGCTGGAGCATCGCAGGATGCTAGTCTGCGGCTGAGCACATCTCGAGGGGATAGGGATAAACCGTGAGCGGTCAATCATGAGTGAACCAAGGATGGCCATCGGTGTGAGGTCCTCGCAGATGCAGCTGAGCGGCAGAGACTGGACTGCTGACGCAGTTGGTACTCGCATGTCAATCGGTTTTCTCTGAAAGATACCTGTTGCAAACCAAAATGTGGCTCGCTGCAAGATTGCAATGTAAGTGGGACGTCGGTGGAGTGCCAAGGGATGGCATGGCATGACCTTTGTGGTAGCATCAATGCGTCAGCCAGGAGCTCACGGCCATGCGGCTCGGCAAGCAGCGGAAACTTGCCGCGCATCCTCAGGCAGACAAACTCTTCATGTCCAAGCAGAGCTGTGCCGCTGGTACTGTTGAAAATGGCAGAAGACGCTCTCTGCTACTAGCTGTTAATGTGGAAAGTGCAAACAAAGACCTGAATAGACCCAGCGAAAGCCAAAGCACCCTGGGATTGTGGGACATGACGATGTCTTACCCTGCGACTTCTGAGCTTGCCAGACTGTGCACAAGCCCAAGATGCTTCATCATTTGGCGCACGGAGCCTGGAAGCGATGTTTCAACAAACGAGAGCGCCTTAGCAATGGGATCCAAGTCTCAGGCACACCATGCCAGCCTCGGCCTGAGAGCCGCGGCGATCCCTTTGTGCAGCCCCCCCTTAGTGTGCTATGCTATGTTCTGCCATGCTATGCCTCCGAAGGTCAGTCGCGAGGTCAAACCATGGGCTGGAGGCTTGATCCAAGTTGCTCCCCACAACAACCTGAGTGGCGCGCCCCTGAAGGAGAGGCATTCGGAGTCCCGAGATCCAATTCAGCTAGTGCCCCAGAACTGCCGAACTGGTAGAGCCGTGTTGCTGCCTTCAACTCTGCGGTAGATACATCTGCCAGAGGACTTCACACACCTTCCGCGGATGAAAGGCCGAGGCATACCCCTGTAGACTAAGATAACGTTGGCATTCAGGCCACGCCGATAGAAGGCTGAACCGCCAAAGGCAGGCTCTGCCGTCGTTTCACAGGCATTCTCGGGTCAGAATGCTACATTCGCAAAAGGTAGCTTGAGTTCAGAGGCAAGCACCTACTGCTTCTTCGCTCTAACAGTCTTTCCAACAGGTGTGTGGCAAGACCTACAGCTTGATGGCTCAAGGTCTCTGATTTCGACATCAGCATCCACAAAAATCAGCTTCACCTTGTTGATTAGCATCCAGATCCATATTTTGAACCCGCGCAGTTCTCGAATTCTCGGCAAGGCTTTGCAAGTTGCCGCAAATGAAGCAAGCCGCAATGATGCCTGCTGCCGGTGGAAGTTTGCCTTTGACATGAGCTCTACTCCCGAGGCCAGGCAAGCAGACGCTTTCGCAAGGCTGGCCTCAAGACGTTGGCAGGCTGGCGCCGTGCCCAACGTCCAGATTTTGGAGGCTGATGGCTCCATGAAATATTGTGCGTACATCACACAGAGCTGTCACAAATGCCCCATGCCAAAATCGTGGGAAAGCACTGACAATGATTTGTGTCACGATGTTGTCTTGGTATGAGACAGATAAGCAAGGCCCTGAACACGACGGTCGCGGTGATTGCCCTTCCAGCAGCATTTTCCCGTGACAGCCCTATATGCAGACACGTCGGCAAGCTTGCTTGCATGTCCAAACAAGGCTGGGCAATCCGTGCCACCAAAGATGAGCGCCTGAGCAGTACCCTCGTGCTTTCTGCATTCGTAGGTGCGCTTCCCTCATGCCCCATCTGCAACAAACATTTGTCGAGCCCACGATAAAAAATTGCAGGGCTTGCAGCGTTAGCCGACCATCAGCTTCGGGCGGCTGGAAGGACAGGCAATGTAGCCGCGGGTATCCTCCAAGTGTAGGTCTTGCATTTTGCTGGTTGTGCATCAGGGCTGCCCAGAGGCCCCCTGGCGACAGTACAGCTGACCCAAAGATGCCGCAGCACATTCATGTAAAGATCTGGCAACAATCCTGTGGGCCAAATGGAGAAGGACTTTACAGAAGTCATAGCCGATGGCAGTGCACAATAAGATGATGAGCATGCTCGAGACAGACATTCAATTCTGAAGTTCTAGCAAGACAAGACTCTACACAAGTATTGGGCTTGTTAGATGGTAGGCTTGTGGTTGCTGTTGCAAGCCTAGTTTGACAGGTTTTTCTCGCAAGTCACGAAAGCTAGCGGAGCTAGGCTTGAGTTTAGTCTTGCTTTAGCAGTAGTGGCTGTCAAGGTCTTGAAAACGAAGGATGGTGTGATATATCACAGGATGGGGGG